TCCGCCTGTTTATTTCCCAACACACCGGAGGATATCGGTGAAAAAATCCAGACAATAATCCTCATCCGTGTCCTCCACAGTGAAGCATGCCACTGTGCACGAAGCATGCCTGTCCTGACCTTCCACAGCAAGCTTTCTGAGTCAGTTACAATCACGATGTGTGTGTGTGTATCGTGTTCTATAACCAGAAAGCTGCAGTGACAGCCTCCACCTCCACCTCCATTCTTCAGCTGGATGTTGTGGTATCATACGCTAGGCTCTCCTGCACCAAAAGTCGGCCATTGCCTTTTGCTAAGAAACCCCAAGCCTCTTGACACTGAACCGTCTGTGTAAATGATAAAATCCTCTGAGCGAGCATTATCTTGAATTAATTGCTGAATTTCCACCTCCGTGGCACCTGCTGGCCAGTCTCTGCATTCACGGCTTAGTGTGAGTATGACCCTACACAAGTCTGACTGTTCAGGTGGCACTTTGACCCACTCCTCTCCTCGGCTAATGTTCCCAAGGATGCAAACCTGTCTGATTGTGTCTTTAGCCTGAGCCATCCATAACTTCCCTCTTATCAGCCTCCGACCCTTAACTGCGCCCAGAGCTTCGTGAAAAGGGTTATCTGTGTCTGCAGCTACCTTGAGATATGACTTCGCCTGCAGGACCTTCTGTCTACCTGCAACAGTCGGCAAACCAAGGATGTATCGCATAGCTGCGTTTTGTATGCGCTCTAGTTTGTCCATCTGACTCTTTGAGACGGTAAGCAGTCCTAGGCCATAATCAATCACTGACAGGATCAGGTGATGATGTAGTGTGAAAAGCATTCTCTGCTCTATGCCAGTTGCAGCCATCGTCTTCAGATTCTGTAGCATTAATATCTCAAGGGTGAGAAGTGAGAATCAAAGTGCTGCAATTCCAGAAAACCAATTCTTCCGTGTGTGTTCTGCGCAGTTATATTGGGGCAACACCAAAACTGATATAATGAAACCTGTAGTCCAGTGTGGGTGTGTTGAACCGTTACAATGAAACCTGTAGTCCAGTGTGGGTGTGTTGAACCGTTACAATGAAACCTGTAGTCCAGTGTGGGTGTGTTGAACCGTTACAATGAAACCTGTAGTCCAGTGTGGGTGTGTTGAACCGTTACAATGAAACCTGTAGTCCAGTGTGGGTGTGTTGAACCGTTACAATGAAACCTGTAGTCCAGTGTGGGTGTGTTGATTTGTATGCCTCTTGGTCAGGGACCAACATGATTTTTTTTTTTTTTTTTTTCAGATTTTCCTGAGACTGCGAAAGAATCTGGCAGGGAAAGCAACTAGTCGCAGTGAATCATAGGCTGCCCTAGAATGGGTGAAAATCCAATACCTCTCGCCCTTGCCTATTGATGTAGTCTGCGCGGGAAGCACCAGGGTTCAGCATTAGCATGTTTGCAGCCAAAGTGTGTGTCACCTCACCAAATTAGTTGTGTTTTTTTTAAATTTCATTTACTTTCAGAAATTTTCTTCTTTCCCTCCCTCTCCTCGCCCCCTCCTCCTCCTCCTCCTTCTTCTTCTTCTTCTTCTTCTTCTTCTTCTTCTTCTTCTTCTTCTTCTTCTTCTTCTTCTTCTTCTTCTTCGTCTTATTTCTGCTTATTCTTCTGCTTCCTCTTCCTCTTCTTCTTCTTCTTCTTCTTCTTCTTCTTCTCCTCCTCCTCCTCTTCCTCAACATCCTTCTTTTGCATATAGATTACCGCACATCACCGCAGTATGTATATACTGGGGTGGTATCTGGTATAGCCATTACAGATATCCTTATCATAACTGCTGTAAATGCCATAAACAAGTATATGGCATGTATCTTCATCCATGTTTCAGAATGTGACTCGAAGTCTCGGGAATGGTCAAATCTTCAGTGAGCAGCCAAATCCAAGTCCAAGTCCAAGTCCTTTTGAGAAAAAAATGAAAAGGGCGACCACTTTCAGACTGCTGCTAGCTAGCCGAGGTTGCTAACAGTCTCCGCCTATATTTGTGGTCTGGGTTATTAGTGTCACTTTCGTGACTAAATTCTAGTATTGCGCCATTTCTGGGCCTGATGCTTCCATCCGGTTCCGACCGCTCGTCGTGCACCGTTGTTAGCTGTTAATGTCTTTCCTCTTCTTATCTGGTGTCTCCTCTTGGTGTCATCGTGAGCAGCCAGTACAGAGGCAACAGACTTACATTTAGTTTCTTCTGGCTACCGTCTGATTGGCTAGAAATTTTCGCGTAGCTTCATCTTGGTAATTTTGCCATACCTATTGATAGTGTACACCAGCACAATGTAATAAATGTTTGAGGTTTAGTAATGCTTGTGACACCGGCTGTAAACTCTAGTGAAAAGCTCTGGTTGTTCGTCCACTTCTTAACTTTAGTCTTGTTTCAGAGCTCGAATTTTTCGTTTTACAGATTTGCTTATTTACATGCAAGCTATTAGTTCCCCGCCTTTCAGTCAGATACACTCCGATATTGCAAGAGATTGTGTAAATGATTTTGTATGTTGGTTAATAACTTTGGATACAACAGCAGCACTGTTTGATATTAGAGTTTAATATTATAAAGCTTCTGGTGTCCTGCAAATTTGTGTATTTTGTCTCTGACATATTTATTAGTTTTGTGTTCTAGATAAATAATTCGTTGAATGTTAAATGTTGAATTAAAAATTAACATTCAATGAATTAGGTAACTAATTCGTAAAATGCCTCTGTAAAATTTACATTTGAAAGCCTGAATTCTTCTTTTCATTTCCACAATAAGAGTTCAACTCTCACATCCATATAAGAAAACAGACAATACCAGTGATTTGTAAATATTGACCTTAACTTTGCTGCTGATTTTGTCCTTCCACGTCGTATTCAACTGCATATGGCGATTGTTGCCATATCAAGTCTTGTCTTGATATCTTTGGTACAACTGCCATTGTTACATATATGGGAGCCGAGGGATATAAACGTTTCAACTTCTCGTTTTTTACCTTTTATATGTAAGTTGGTATGTACTTGATTATTGTGACTATTTACTAGAATCTTGCTTTTCTTGGGATTAATGTCCATGCAGTAGTTACCACAGACTGTCTCTGATTTTGTAGAAAGTTCTTGAAGTTCTGCATTGAAACCATGTATGAGATAATGCTGAAGAACATTGGGCAAGGAGCCGAGTGGGTCAGAGTACCAGAGGACAAGTCTGGCCAATGTAGGGTCATGATCACATTAGTCCGGGAGTGCGGAGAGTGGCCAGGGGAGCTACTGAGGTGGAAGTCCAGCAGTTGATTCACTATAGTTCTCGTCCTAATGATCTAATTGTCTACACATATGGTTCTGTGTTGAGAGAAAAGAGACGTTCCTGGGGTTTCGTAGCGAAAGCCAAAGGAAAATCGTTAGTGCATATGATACCAGGACATCTAGCACGGGAATTGGGGGGGGGGAGAGAGAGGCGGTAACTGCAGCTCTCCAGTGGCTAGAGAACAAGATATATACACTTGTCGTAACTGTAATGGTCTCTGAAAGCACGCTAAGAAAGGTGAAGACAGCGATGCTTCGAGCTGTGTGGCAAGCTTCATTTGCAAGGTCACGGATAGTCAGCATACTTTAGATATTTTCTCCAGGTAATGCCGGCTGAGTGGGGAGTGAACAGGCAGACAGACTGGCTGGATCTGCACCGCTAGGTGATGAATTGATACATAAGAAGGCAGATGTGGTCAGAGCCCTTTGGGAACAAGTGACGAAGTCAGAAAAGAAACTAGATTATGGGCTGGAGAGAATGATGAACCTGGGTATGACCAGAGGGTACGGCCGGCACACTACGATCAGGGGAAAGGCAAGACTGACATACAACCAGATGATGACTGGCACCATTAGTACTAGAACGCTGCGCTGGCTGCTGAGAATGGGGACGGAGCACATATGGGAATGCCACGAGTGCTGTGTTGTCTATTCTCAACTTAATTCAACTCAGGTATGAGATCAATGTTGTCTGCAAAACGTAAATTACATAATGGTCTTCGACCAATGGATGTGAATGTTTCATGATTTTATAGTGTTTCTCTATGTTCCAAATACAATTTAAAAGGACATGGACAGCATGCAACCCTGTCTCACTTCCACACTGATTTTGAAAAAAAATTCCTATGTCATTTTGAATTAGAACTGCACCACTTGTCATTTTGAATGAGAACTGCACCACTTGTCATTTTGAATGAGAACTGCACCACTTGTCATTTTGAATGAGAACTGCACCACTGCTTGCACCTAATAAAGTGCTTAAATGGTGTCTATGATGTTCTGATCAAAGTTGAAATTTCTCATTATTTGCTAGAGCCTAGCATGTCACATGCGGTCAAACGCTGTTACCAGCCCATGCCCTGTGGTTGTTCACAACGCATGGCCACGTGGCTCTGTTATTTATAGGCCCTTAGTTATTTATAAGCCAGTGTGGATTAGCTGTAACAAACCAAGCTTTGACACAAAGAAAACATTGACGGGACGGGAGTGGAGGAGGAGCGGGGTAAGCCCCTCGCAAATCAAATTGTAGAGGGAAAGAAGCTCTCGAGGCGAACAAGCAACACTCAACAACAAATTACGTCGCCTAAAGTAGCTAGTGTACTTACTTACCAGGGAAGTGTTGTTTCCTGGCTGCGTCGTTTAGTTCAGGAATGTAATTTCTACAGAGATTACCCGTGGATCGTCACTGGAGCTACGGAGGTTCGTGCCACCAACAACAGTTGCAAGAGCAAGAATAAAAATAATAAGAGTAAGAAGAAACAGCAAAAGAACAACAGAACAAGATAATAATAATTATGATGATGATGATGATGATAGAACATAGACGATACATCAATACAGTATTTTTATTTTAAACTCATTGTGAAGATTTTTCGTGTAAAAGTAGTTTAATCTATACTTCAGTGGATTTTTACAATGCGATCCTTTCTGAGACCACCCATAAGAGGTTTTGCTCACTGCTGTATGTACTTGAATAAATCTCCATCTGTGTGTAATGGACCAGTTAACGAACTTGGGTGACGTTTGCAGGGATGAAGGCCGGGTTTGAGGTCACGTTTGCATAGACGTTGTCCATGATTGATGTCCATGAGGTGCCCCTGTCTTCACTGACCATGTAAGCCAGCCCGTTGTTGGATATGCCGTAGAGAAAGCCGGTCGATGGGTCAACTCCTGTAACCACAGCAACGCGTGGACTCAGTTCTGGTGAGGAATTTTTAAAAAGGTGATCTTTTTTCGAACGAAAGAAATCATTATTGCAAGTAATATTGACCGAGAAACAAAAATTGTAGACTGACATTGACTGAAATACTAATATAAATTTTAGATGGCCTCAGGCAGACGTAAACTGTAGACAGACTCAAACCGATAGGCATATACAGACAGACAGACAGAAAAATAAATGTGGATGGACGAACAAACATACAGGCAGATAGTAACTGCAGGTAGACACATACGGATAGACAGACATAATTCGTAGGCGGAAACATACAGACACATAGACGGACAGAAACAATAGACGAACACTGATATATAGATTTTTTTTTTATTATCCACCCTTTGGCTCGGTACTATGGATATCGCAACCCTTCGGCCTTGATTCCATGATAAATACCGTAAATCTTGGAGAAATGAGGCTTTTCTGCCTGCCCCCGGGGGTGAACACAGACCACAAGGAGTTCCTTACCCGGTCGCAGCGAAGTCAGGTTTAGCCAACTACGCTAGCGAGCCGGGCAGATACATAAACAGAGGATAAGTATGAACAGACAGACAGACGGATATATGAGCAGGCAGGTATTATGTAGCTGGTTTAATACGTACATTAACAAGTAGGAATGCATACAAAATGAGGCTATGCGAACCATTCTGGGATGCACAAGGGACAGACCAGTTGTGTATAAGATATATCTTGGCTATGCCAACCGTTGCTGATAGATATGGTATACTGCGGGCTTGGTGCTATCTCAGAGTGGCAAGCGATACGGAACATATCCTATACAAAGAATTGGACACTGTGAAGGGTGGCAGACCAAATATGGGCATATCCTGGATCGCCTTAGTTGAAAAGTCAATCAACTGGGTCTATAACATTTAAAAAAACTGGCCAAGGAGAAGAATGGGTAAAGGTACCAGAGGGTAGAGAAGAGCTGCACAAAGTGATAATTACCTTGTGGCGAGAGTGCTGGGAATGGGCGGCAGGACGTGCAGATGCAGAGGTTCAACACATGATAGAAGACAACTCTAGGCCAGGAGATGTGATTATATACACTCATGAGTCAGTTGCAGGGGCAGGAAAAGTGGATTTGGTTTCATTGCTTTGATAGTTAAATACTTCTTTCTTTTAAATGCTTTTTTCTCTTAAATCTCAACCACACATGTTTTCATTGAATCATATTCGCAAAGCTTGCCCAGTAAGATGGTGTCAGATTTTCATTGTATGGAACAGATTACATCTGTCCAGAGGTAGCAGGTGGTGAAACCAACATGGATATTTTGCCCGGGCTATTCAAGTGTGTTTGGGAATGAGCAGGCAGATAGGTTGGTGGGAATGGCCCCATTTGGGGTGAACTGCAACCGCACACGCTGGAGGTGATGTCAGGTGAAATAGAAGACACTTAAAATCCATACCTGGGGAGATAATGCAGCGAGGAGTGGCTGTGGGCTCTGGACTTCTTTATGTTTTGCATGTTCTAGTTATCCTGCATTGTCTTCAGACAGAAACAAGTTTTGTATCTTGTTTTCTGTTGAGTCTGCCATTAGGCCTTATGGGTGTTTACTGTTGGTTTGTTCTCTCCACTATTCCATGTATCTCCGGTATTTGAACCCTACATCTTGGGCCGGCAAACGAGTATCTGGCCGACCAGCATTATAAGAGGGCCCCAGTAATAATAATGTTGGTCACAAAAACTGTCAACAAGAAACTGTCACACCACCTCTCTAAACTCCGCATGATCGTGAACCACTTACCTAAATACATCGGCGGAGAACTGGACAGAATTTTGTGACACGAGACTCCGGTGGCGCTGCCCCTGTGGACACGATTTCAAATTGTTATATGTCTTTTATTTAATTGCTTTTGACAGTTTAAAAATGTGTTCTTTTAAATGCTGCTTTCTTTTAAATACTTCTTTCTTTGGAATAAAAGCTTTTGTCTTTTTAACAAAAACTACTTCTTTCTTTTGTTCTATCTTTTAAAAGCTTCTTTCTCCTAAATGCTGCTTTTCCCTAAATACATATTTCTTTTAAATGCTTCCTTTTTTAAATAAGTCTTTCTATTAAATTAATACTTCTTTCTTCTGAATGCATCTTTGCCTGAAATATTTCTGGTATCGATCACAACACTCACCCAGATATAACTACAGGTAACTTTCGTATCAATCGGGTGCCCATCATTTAACTGTTATACGGCAGAACGTGGTTTCTCACACCTGGACCTGCTGGATTCACATCCCAATGGGTTTTAGTTTGGCATTGTGCATTTAAAGATAAAACAGGATGATGACGCTGCTGCTGCAGCTGAGGATGATGATGATCTAAGTGGTAACTTCAAAAGCAGATAGGAATAGTTATAATAATGATTTTCTGGCACTTCTTCTTCGTCTTTATCTTCAGCATTCCGAGCCTTTGAGGTTCATTTGCTGCCGATATCACCCGCCTCCCTTCATATATGTGAATGACGCTCTCCTTCCATTGGGCAACTAAATACATCCGAATTTTCGGCTCAGAAATCTGTTTGTGGCGAAATGAGGTTTTAATAAACACAGAGGCCTCTGTTCTCTTTTCCTTGGCCTGGCCAGCTTGAGAGTCACTGCTGGCGGCTGGTAAAATTAATTAAGCAATTATTTAAGTTAAATGTAATCATGGGACAATAAAAACTGCCTTAGATGATACTATATGACGCATTCACACAGTATTTCAGTCTCCTCGCTGGTGCTACGAAGTTCGTGCACTGCGCTGAGATTCTTCAGACTCAGGCTTGAGTAAGAAGTAGAACGGAGCACACATGGGTGCCTTGTGCCATGATGTTGATCCGTCGTCTAAACGAAAGCATTCACATATTTTAGATTACGGTATACAAAGAGTGCCTAGGTCAATGTTCGGAGTGCGGTGATGTTCTAGTTCCTGACTCAATACATCTCATATTTTTTTTTAAAAGTTACATAAATTGTACCTACCGTCTCATATGGAAGGCATCGCAACGAATCTGGTCAGTAACAGCAGATTTTGGTAAGTATAGAAGCTCTTCAAATCCTATAAAACAGAAACAATAAGTGCTTGTTTACTAGAGAAGAAACATGTTGTTGTGCACTCACTGCAGCACTTACACAGAGTATCTTGTCAACTGGCCAGTCTCATAAATAATGAATACATAAACAACAAACATTCAGTCAAGATGATAATGCTTGGCTGTGCCGATCTTTACTCCCAATTCACGTTTTCTTAGCAGTGATGTGGACACGTTGCTTCCAAAATCCTCAGAACGTCCTATCTCTCTAAGAGCAATGACACTGTCTGCGTGATCCATGGGCCGGCCATCTTCAATTAATGCAGCACCTGCCAGTCTATCAGCTCTCTCATTACCAACAACGCCTGCATACCCTGGGACGAATATGAAAGTAACTGCACACACATGAGAATTTTGCAATGACTTAAGCCACTGTTTTCTTAACCAGCCTGACTCGACCCGCCGGATCATACTCTAAGAATCACTCAGCTCGCACATGCGGGAATAGTCCTGTGATCCCAGCCGCATGAAAGTCTGTGTCACCGCCATCACCTCCAACGTCATGCTGCTGGTGGTCATGGAGAAGGCACCGCTGGCTTCATTAAGTGTTCTGCCTGAAAAGCGAGCTGTAAATGCCCATGCACTCTTATGTCCTCGTATAACAGACCCGTGAAGATCACCAAATCTGTCTCATTTATGTCATCTGTCAGCATCATATGTACAGCCAGATGCCAATTCGTTGCAGACTTCCGAGACCCAGTTGCAAACTCGAAATAGCATGACAGGTGGGTGGGTGGGTGGGTTGGGTGCGCGCTCGCGTGCATGCGTGCGTGTGTGTGTGGTTTTTTTTTTTTAAAGACATATTTTATACAATATACACTATTCGTATTCGGCCGAATAGTGAAAATCACTATTCGGTACAGCCATAGTTTAAGGTTTTCCAGTCTTGTTACTGTCTAGATATTCCTCAAACCGATGAAGAGATGTGTTTAGTTTAATCACTTTCCCTGCCACAAACACCCCTCTGATCCACATGAGAATGATACTAAACAACCACCACACTTAGAGACTTACTGACCTGTTTTGTACGGGACACAGCGCCACATTTCCTGACAAGGGGCACATGCGCGGGGTCTTGCTGTCCCACAAGGGCATGCCCCAGCCACACAGCACCCACAGTTGGATAGGCTGGCATCGTGAGGGCATGGGCATTTGCGAGAGCTGGTCCAGCTCAGACGCTTGGCTGCAGGAAGACAAAAGAAAAAACACAACTCTAGTTACTGAAGCAGTCTTCAACTAGAAGCAAGGATGTTATCCAATTAACGACAGTGGCGAAAGACTGAGCGCCTTCTGCACAGTGAATGGACTTGTTATAGGAGGAACACTTTTCGCTCAGAAGAACATACACAAGCTTATATGGATATCCACAAATGGAAGAGATGAAAACCAGATCGACCATTTTAAGGTGAACAGAAAATGGCTTGGGTCCCTACTCGGGAGCAGATGTGGGTAGCGATCATCACCTAGTAGTTGCACTACTTCGAATTAGACTCAAACAAGTGCACACACAAGACACAGACAGCATGCTACACTGTGAACCTATTAGGAGAAAAAGACCTTGCCACTAGGTTTATGGTGGAAATCAAGAACAGATGTTAAACCCTATCAGATCAAGAACAGATGTTAAACCCTATCAGGTGATTCAGACTGTCTAACTACAATCAGCATTTCAGAAAAATGGAACCAGATCAAAGAAGCATATAAAACTGCCAGCAAAAACATGTTAGGAACCAGGCAACAACGCCACAAAGAATGCATAAGCAGTCAAACCATGGACTATACTACAAAGCGGAAAAAGAGCCTCATAAATCACACTAAATCAGAACGTCGGAAAGACAAACTAATGTTAGAATATAGGGAACTTGATAAAATGATAAAGGAAAGTGCCCGAACAGACAAGCAAACAAGAAATCCTTAAAGCTATTCACACTTTAAAGAACAACAAAGCACCAGGTAAGGACGAACTGCCAGTAGAACTTCTCAGAGTAAATTCCAACACAACTCCTGGCAATCTAGAACCATTATTCACGGATATTTTGGAAAAAGAAGTGTTACCTGATGACTGGACTGAAGGAACAATAATTCAGATCCCCAGAAAAGGAGATTTAACAGACTGCAAAAATTGGAGGAGAATTACTCTACTCTCAGTACCAAGCAAAGTATTCTGTAAAGTCATCATAATGAGGCTCGAAACGGGAGTAGATAAATGTCTACGAGTGGAACAAGCAGGATTCAGAAAAGGTAGAGAAACAACTGAGCACTTCTTCACCTTACGTAACATTTTAGAACAATGCAATGAATGGTAAAGAAGTATATATACAAGTTTTCAAGGTAATGCTTGTAAAATATTTGGGAACCGTTTACAACGAAATACTTGCAATACGCTTGGGAGTTAATAACGTGCTGCAGGTAAACTAACAACTTACAATTAAAAACTTTCAAAATTTGTGGAAACTAACGTCCTACATTCAAATATTTATATCGTGAATCTAAACTTCTTCTTCTTCTTTGTCTGTCGTCTCACTGTTACCAAGTTGTAACCTAGTTTCGTGGTTTTCTGTATTTGTCCTGCGCTTCACGGGTGGCTTGAGTGATGGATTTGTTCATCTTTTTGCAGGTTTCATCTACGCCTCCATCTTTTTCTTAGCCTTTCTCTCGCCTTCCTCCCAGATGTTCTACTGTAAAAAGTCTCAGATGCAGTCTGGTCTGGCCGCATTTTCACTATATGGTCGAACCATTTCATTCTTTGTCTGTCAATATAAGACTGCCCCGCCATTCAACTACTTACAATCAAATAAATACTTGCAACCTGAACGGAAACCAACAACATGCAACCAAATATTTGCAACATGTCTGAAAACTAGCAACTTACAACATGTCTTGCTAACATTCACGGACAGGTAGACGGCGTCAGACAGGAGGTCAGTTAGGTTTCCCCAGCGGTCGCCCCAGATGGCCTCCGCTGTCACAACCCGGCTGCCAGCGGCCAGGATCTGCTGGCTGGACAGGTCAACGTCCAGGGTCACTTCCAGTGTAAATGGGTCACTGAATGTCAGACGACCTATCTGTGATACAAACAAAAAACATTTTTAAAAAGTTAGCTTGGTTCCGGCACGTGCTGAGACATGATTCGATTGCAAAGACTGTACTTTAAAGGAACACTAGCGGGGGGAGGGGGGAGTCGAAGAAGAGGAGGGCAAAGAAAAAACTAGAATGACAACATCAAGAAGTACAGGAGTAAGTTATCATACACTTGTTCAACAAGCGGAGTCCATCGATATACATCCACGGCCCTAACGGGTCAAGGGTTATGTCATGTTAACGCAGGAATGGATGATGATAATACACTATAGACCGCTTTAGGCGATCTCGGATGCGGAGAATTCTGTTATGAAGAACAATTTGTAATTCTATTCACGTTTCTCGGCCGAGCGGGAGATGGAGATCAGTTGCGGCTCGAGGTCAGAGTGAGGCTCATGTAGTTTGAGGTCACCCGGCGGCTCAAGTGAGGCTCGGGTGATGCTTGGGTCATGAGCAACGTGTAGGTCAAAGTGAGACTCCAGTGTTTTATAGTCACCTGATAGCTTCGGTGTGTCCACAGGTGGTGAGGCAGGCGGAGCAGAGGGTCCGAGAATTTCACGGACGGCGGTGAGCACGGGCGGTAGTAAGCCAGCTGTTTGGATGGTTAAATAGTAGAATGCAGAAAACAAGGAGTATTGGGTGACTAGGCGGCGGGGGAATAGAAAGTATGGTTGTAGTAAAGAACTTGGGCCCAGCGAGACGTGATTGGACATTCATTTATGCGTCTCAACATCTAAAATGCTTTAGTCTAAATAACAGGAGTGTCAGGTTCGCGCCAGTTTGTATTCTGTCGACGGTCTTACTGGCGACTATGCGTGCTCTATATGACAGGATGTGAGTGGTTTTATCGACCCTATAGCATGTACAACTGGCGCTAACCCCAGCCCCCTCCCTAAGCCACAGACACAGCCTAGGTCACACGAAAGAGTGCATTCAATGCCTAGTCGATTAATACTTCTTAACATTTTCCGGTGGCCCCCAAAAGGGTCTGCTCCTACTTAAAATCCGAGTCTGCTGCTTATACCCACCAACAAACACCACTTCTGTTTACCAGTGAAAACGCAATATCGGTGACCGGTGCTCACACAACACAGATTAACACGCAACGCAGGATTCTTTGCAAAGACAATAGGGACACCCCTCTAACGTATACCGAAAGTGTATATGTTATATACTACAAATATATAAACGTGATAAAATAGAGCGATTTGACACTAGATTTGTTAAAGTTATATAGTAGAAGTGTACATTCTTGCAATTTAAATTTTAATTAGTTATAGTGGTGCCAAATGTTACTGAAAGAGGTAGATAATGTTATACAGAGTAGTAGATTATTTATGGAAAATCCTGCTAAATTTAGCCAATGCACACCAATATAGTATTTATACGGATACATATTAGAACGAATAACTTATTTTACCCTCCCTCATAGTAAGACGCGTGGACTACTTCAGTTACAACATGACAGCAAACATGTATACAAACTACGTCATATGCACTACCTCGGCTACAACACTACCATGACGTAAACATATACACCTATGTTATATAACTGCCCCTACCTCAGTGACGATAATTGTGCTCTCCTGCCGGACCGTTATGGTGTTTTCCAGAGGGACTGTAAAGTCGTTCTTCCTCATAGCCATGTAGGCGGGCAAGTAGACATTAACTGTGACGTTGTAGGCCGTCCCTGTGGAGTTCACGCTGTGTTTGACCAGCACCTCCAAGACTGCGGTTGTGCTGCACGAGTATACAACGTATAAGGCACACATAATATGTGAGCAAAGTACTTGACAGAATGTGTTAGAACCGTTTACTGCGTCTTAAGGCATGTTGTGCATATAGGGCTAGTCCTATATTTTATAGACAAATTGGCACTCTTCTGGTGGTGTGATCAACATCACGCCGGCCGTCTTTACTTCTAATGACTTCAACTAGTGCCCAATCAAGGTTGGATCGACCTCGGAGCTAAAGTCATGTATAAAAATTGTCCGTTTCCGACAGGAGACAAACCCACGACCTTCTGATCCGAAGGCCAACATACATCATCATCTTCAATTCGTCTTATGCCTAGTGGCACATAAGGCTTCAGGGGGACTTTCCATGCTTTCCTGTCCTGTTCAATCTTCAGTGCAATTTTCCCTGGCAGAGATGCCGCACTCAGATCAGTTTCCATTGTTCGTCTCCTGTTGTCTTTCGGCGTAATGGGCATATAGGGCTAGATCTTTATTTTATCGACTAATCGGCACTAGGTGGGTGTTCTGGTCAACATCACGCCGGCCACCTTTACTTCCCAGGACAGTCCATGTACACAACATATTTGACGACAGTCTATACACATGATAAATTTACTGTAGTATTTGTGTTAAAATGCACTCAAGTGCAATGATGTGTACACATATTGGTTTACAATAAAATGTACACATTGTAATCTACAACAATGCGTCGAGATAATATTTTTCAACAACCTATGCAACATAATTATTGAACGCAACTTTGCGTAATCTTAAAAACCAATGTGTACATATAGTCCTAGAAAAAAACAGGCAATCTTTGAAACCAGTGTGTACATCTATTATTTGAACAATTATGTGCATATAATCTTTTGATGCAATGTGTACTCATAATTTTTGAAACCAGTGTGTACACATAACCTTTATAAACATTGCTTGTACGCAATCTCTGTAAACATACTGCGCAAACAATCATTGAAAATAACCTGCAAACATATTCGTTGAAAGGAGATTATACACATAATCTTTGAAAGCAGTGTGAAACTAGAGTATATACCAGCAATACACACCTAACATTTTCACAATGATAAGTTCCGATTCTACTTTACAACACGGTGTACACATACTTCTTGCCCAATGATGTGTACACACTAATGACCACTGGAGCAGAAGTAGACGTGGCCACTGAAGACTCCTGGCGTATGAAAATTCCCGCGGCCTGTTGACCGATAAGGGACAGGTTCCTGCAGGATGCGACGTTCTACTAAAAACCAGCTACATGTTGATGGCAACGGATTTGACGAACAAGAAGAGTAAAGGTAAATGATGACTGGTGATGAGGCGGAGGAGGAGGATCATGATGATTATTACGACTACAATAAGGGCGAGGATTGTGACCATAACGGCACCATAGTGTTACTAATGAGGGGAAGGATGAGATGGTTGAAGAAGATGATGATTGCTGATCAAAATTGTGATGATTAAGCTGGTGATGATGAGGAGAAGGGTGAGAATAGGGGTTAACTCCTCCTATTTTTAGCGTTTACCAGCTATAAACTCCGGCGGAAGTTCTCGTTGTTCCTAAACGACTGGACGTTGTGTTCTTACGCCAGGACTTGAGTTGTACAGGTCTGGCTTATTTATATGAAGACTGATAGTTTCTCACAACTCAGCCTGCTGAAAGTAACACCTCTTGTAAGTAGCCTTGTACGACTTGCTTGTAAGAGTGGGTCTGTTCCACTCCTAACCCCACAATGAGGCTATGGAACTCACACAGGGAGATAGGGATTATGTTAGCCATGGCTGATCCAGTCAGTTACTCACTTTCCGTCATAGGCGCACTGTTGCACTTGAAGTAGGTCCACCACCAAGTCCGGCCGACTAACTTTGGGTGCGGAGATGTTGACGCTGATCTCCCCGACCCAGATGAGGTTACCGCTGAAGCTGACACCAATCAGCACCGGCCACTTGTCCCCGCTCTGTGTGGGCAAAGAAATGTCAATTTGATTTACAACTTTGTGGCTCACACGTATTCTGTGTGGGCAAACAAATGTCAATGTGAATTACAACTTTGTGGCTCACACGTATTCTGTGTGGGCAAACGTGTCAACATGAATTACAACTGTGGCTCACAAGTATTCTGTGTGGGCAAACGTGTCAACATGAATTACAACTTTGTGGCTTACAAGTATTCTGTGTGGGCAAACAAATGTGAATGTGAATTACAACTTTGTGGCTCACAAGTATTCTGTGTGGGCAAACAAATGTGAATGTGAATTACAACTTTGTGGCTCACATGTATTCTGTGAGGGCAAATAAATGTCAATGTTAATTAGAACTTTCTGGCTTACATGTATTCTGTGTGGACAAACATGTGTGAATGTGAATATAAAACTCTGTGGCTCACATGTATTCTGTGTGGGCAAACAGGTATCAGTGTGAATATCCAACATTGTGGTTCAGATATGCCTTGTGTGGGGAAACAGGTGTGAATATGAATTACAACTTTGTGACTTGACTGTGTTCTTTGGGGACAAACCCGTGTAATATGAATATACAATTTTGGGACTCGCATGTGTTCTGTGTGGACAAACGTGTGAATTTGATTTACAACTTTGTAACTAGCATGTGCTCTGTGTGGACACACGTGTGAATTTGATTTATAACTTTATAACTAGCATGTGCTCTGAGTGCCACTAAATAATGATTGTATGTGTTGACTTATCTTCCCTGTAGAGCAGCAATGAGCAATAGCTGTGAGCCACTAAATAATGATTGTATGTGTTGACTTATCTTCCCTGTAGAGCAGCAGTGAGCAATAGTTGTGTGCCACTAAATAATGATTGTATGTGTTGACTTATCTTCCCTGTAGAGCAGCAGTGAGCAATAGCTGTGTGCCACTAAATAATGATTGTATGTGTTGACTTATCTTCCCTGTAGAGCAGCAGTGAGCAATAGCTGTGTGCCACTAAATAATGATTGCATGTGTTGACTTATCTTCCCTGTAGAGCAGCAGTGAGCAATAGCTGTGTGCCACTAAATAATGATTGTATGTGTTGACTTATCTTCCCTGTAGAGCAGCAGTGAGCAATAGCTGTGTGCCACTAAATAATGATTGTATGTGTTGACTTATCTTCCCTGTAGAGCAGCAGTGAGCAATAGCTGTGTGCCACTAAATAATGATTGTATGTGTTGACTTATCTTCCCTGTAGAGCAGCAGTGAGCAATAGCTGTGTGCCACTAAATAATGATTGTATGTGTTGACTTATCTTCCCTGTAGAGCAGCAGTGAGCAATAGCTGTGTGCCACTAAATAATGATTGTTTGTGTAATCCTGTCAGAGTTCGAAATATGGTCTGAGTTTTTGTTTTTCTTGTCTGTAAAAGTGAGTATTCTTTGAGTTTGTGTGTTTGTGGGAGAGAGAGAGAGAGAGAGAGAGAGAGAGAGAGAGAGAGAGAGAGAGAGAGAGAGTGTGTGTGTGTCTTTCTAAATTATGTATTTTAAAGATTATTTTTACCTCAAAACAGCATTTAACACCTATAAAGAAAGATTTTTTTGGTTATATAATTGGTTTCAGTCGTACAGGGTGTGAATACTAATGAGGAAAAAAAGGCTGAAAATAAAAATGAACAAATAAAGCAGTGAAGATTTAAAAAGAAGAGGAAGAATAAATATATTAAAGAACGGAGAGAGATGAAACCAAAAATCAAATGTAAAACTACAAATAGTCAAATGAAAAGAAAGAAAGAAAGAAAGAAAGAAAAAGAAAGAAAGAAAGAAAGAAAGAAAGAAAGAAAGAAAAAAGAAAGAAAGAAAGAAAAGAAAGAAAGAAAGAAAGAAAGAAAGAGAAAGAAAGAAAGAAAGAAAAAGAAAGAAAGAAAGAAAGAAAGAAAGAAAGAAAGAAAGAAAGAAAGAAAGAAAGAAGGAAAGAAAAAAGGACATGCAGAAAGAAAGAAAGAAAGAAAGAAAGAAAGAAAGAAAGAAAGAAAGAAAGAAAGAAAGAAAGAAAGAAAGAAAGAAAGAAAGAAAGAAAGAAAGAAAGAAAGAAAGAAAGACAGACAGACAGACAGACAGACAGACAGACAGACAGACAGACAGACAGACAGACAGACAGACAGACAGACAGACAGACAGACAGACAGACAGACAGACTGACAGACAGACAGACAGACAGACAGACAGACAGACAGACAGACAGACAGACAGACAGACAGACAGACAGACAAACAGAAGTATGGTTAAAAATTGTTGACTAAAAGGTAGATAATGGTGATCGTAACGATGATGACAATAACAACGACGATAACATCGAAGACAATACACATACAATAAAAAGGAATCGACATGAGAATACCTTCATTTCACTGTAATCCTCCACGCGAACCACGAAATCAGAAGCGACTGTGAGCTGAGAAAAGCTGGGCTGGTCAATGTCCACGTTTGGCAGGCTCATGACTCCCATGTTCCTCTGATAGGATCCAAGTGTGGACAGTTTGGTTCCCTCCACGTTTTTCAGTACGGTCATTGTGTTTAATGATGTTCCCTTAGTGTCATTAACTGCAACCTTTGGAAACACAATAAACCTGCAATCAGCTGTCCTATTCTTCTTATTCTTCTTCTTCTTCTTCTTCTTCTTCTTCTTCTTCTTCTTCTTCTTCTTCTTCTTCTTCTTCTTCTGCTTCTTCTTCTTACTCTTTTTCTTCTTCTTCTTCTTCTTCTTCTTCTTCTTCTTCTTCTTCTTCTTCTTCTTCTTCTTCTTCTTCTTCTTCTTCTTCTTCTGCTGCTGCTTCTGCTTTTTCTTCTTATTAAACTCAAACTACCACCGCCACCACCACCAGCACTACCAAAACTACCTCCACTTATTTTTCTTATTTGTGTACTGTAATCTTAATCGAAAGAACTGTTAGTACATTGTGTTGTGATTTACAGCTAAGCTGCGATATCGGCGTCTTTCGGTCAAAGACTTCGATTTTAGCAAATCCCTTATTTGTCGTTTCTTACAGCATGTGTGTGAGGGGTATTGTGGCTTTTAAAAATTTGTTTTTATTCATAAATCTGGATCCAATAATTCTATTGCAATGGAAGAGGAAAGATCTGTAGCCGAACAATACATTTTTGAAAGCAGTCACAACATCTGTTAGAAGATTCATGACAGAGACTGAGATTTCAGGAACACCATCGTCATGTGTTGTGCTGATCGGCTCAATTATTGAGTCGTGTGTGCTTTTGTTGTTGTTATTTTTATTTTCCCATTGGAAACTATCATCAGAATCAAAGTTCCAGTCAGAAGAGTCTTAATCTTAATCCTAATCTGAATCTTAATCTTAGTCTTAGACGAGGTTTCAAGTTCACTTCAATCGGGTCACCTTATGATTGATCCGTTTCTGTACGAGGTCAGAAGAATCGGACGATCAAAACCAGAGCTGTGTTTCAGAACATGACGGAAAGCGATTTTTTGGTTGTTATATTAGAAAGACTGTACTGAAACCCGAGTAGAAACATGTATGCCGTAAGATGAAGAATATTTTACACTATAAATCCTTGTCTGCTGAAGTGAGGAATAGATTTCTGTTTAGAGCTCATGTACGGAATTGAATTGTGGTCAGTCTGCAGATTCGTCTACTACTTCTTCTTCTTATTCATCCTCATCATCATCATTCTGGGCTTTTTAGTGTCAGTGTTGCAGATTTCATCCGCATCAATTAATCTCAGTGATTGATCTTCTCTTTCTAGGTGGTGACTCTACGTATCTTTAGGTCTGTATGTATATTATCTCTCACCACCTTCTTTGTCTGCCGCGTGGTCTTCTCGGCAAATTCTTGAGAAAATATGTGTATTCTGCAGAGATGTGTTTCAATAAAAGATTCACAAGAACGCCCTGGACAAATATGAGGCGAAATAATGATGTCTTGGAACATACTAGCTCGGAAAGGCAACTAGCTATGGGTATCAGAAAGCAGACAATCCCCATTCATTGGGCCCTTCGTGTCAAGCATCGATCGTGACAATGGGAAATTGAGATGGAAGAAGAAACACAAGGATCCCATCTTTAGCAGCCAGCGCAGAGTTCCAATATCAGTGGTACCAGCAGCAGTCTGATTATACGTCCGTCTTGACTTCATTCTGAGCTTCGAGTATCGGCAAGATCCCATCCTTACTCCTCGCAGCATCACTGCCACCAGACTGTGGTGATCAGTTTGCTCCTCCGAAAGGTAAACGTGCTCCCATAAGGCCCTTAAAAACGTCTGCCTTATCATGCATCAGTATTCTACTAAGTTCTTCAGAGCCAGCCACCCTGTCAGCCTGTTTATTTCCAATTAACCGGCATACCACGCAGAAAAGATCCAGACAACGCTTCTCACCCCTGACCTCCGCAGCGAAGCATGGCACTCTGCACGAAGCACGCCTGTCCTCACCTTCCTCATCATGCTTTCTGAATCAGTTACAATCAAATGTGTACGTGTGTTGTGTTCTCTAACCAGCGGAAAGGTGCAGTGACTGTGTCCACTTCCATTCTTAAGCTGGATGTTGTGGTATCATGTTAGGCTCTCCTATACCAAACGTCGACCATTAGCTTTTGCTTTCTAGTAAGAATGTTTCCAAACACTTTGCACATGTGTAACTTTCTGAAGAAGTACATCTGGGCAGTAGGCCAGATGACAACCAAAGAAGAGAAAAACGCTCATGCTGAATCCTGCAAAAAATAACAACACATCTATCAAGCAAGCCACTCGAAAAGCACAAGACTAGTACAGACAACCAAGATACCAGAATAAAACAACGACAGCGTGACGATACCAAAAAGATGAGTTGAGTTGAGTCAAGAATTGACATTACAGCACTCGGGGCATTCACATGCTTGCTTCGTCCTCATCTTCAACCGCCAGCGCAGAGTTTCAATACTGACAGTACCGGTCACAATCTGGTTATATATCTGTCTTGCTTTTCCTCTGAGTGTAGTGATATCAAAAAGATGACATGGAAGAACATCTTTATCAGAAATTATTGGCAGTAAACGATACAGAGAGATATTTTCAAGTCTGAAGATCAACCCCAAAGAAAACAGTTTGATGAGGTTAAACTTTCAGCAAAAGACATTACCTCCAGTGTCTGCACCGTCAGCCGAACTTCCTTCGACGTCTCTTCTGGTGATGTGTAGACATTGATTCCGCAGTCGTTCAGGTCACGTGACGAGTCTATTTGTATTTGTGCCGTGAACAAACCCAGTATCGGCTGGGTCAAAGATGACCTGGCTTCCACGCTGACGTCCGCCATTGGCATGATGAAATAGTTGGATTCTACTGTTTTCGTGGAGGTCGCTTGTGTTGTCTCTAGAATTGTTATGGTCATCACGCTTCGGATGAGACTTCCGCTGGTTATCTCCGCTGTAGATGGGGAATAGAGACAGGTTGGTTTCTGGCTGTTTGTGATTTCGCTTAATAATTGTAAATTCAGTAGTTTGCCATTGTACTAAACGGTCGGCGTTCAATAACACTGTCGAAATCAGCGTAAATCGGTCTGCTGTCAAACCCCCGACTGGAATCTACTTGGATATTTTTGGGGAATTTCGAAGAGCGTTCGCAAAGTCTAAGCTCACGTCGACAAAAGGTGAAAAATCAGTCAACTGGCTTATTGTTAAGATTTTCGAAACTTTACTTTCATATGGATGTAGTAGGAAAAAAGAACAGTTCCATGTTTACCCCCATCTGTAATCGTACAAGATGTAAACTGATTTATGATGATCTCATCTGTAAATGATAGCAGGTAAACAGTAAAATAAATCTTTTTCTTTTGCATTTCCTATTAGGTTTGAGGTTTTGAACAACCTATCAACATCATGGCACACGGGTAGTCACCCATAAGTGCTCCGTTCTTCTTCTAACTCAAGTCTGAGTCTTAAGAACCTCAGCAAGTACACGGGCTCTGTAGCACCGAGCCTGTGCATCTCCCATTAAATGGAGGGGGGGGGGCGAATGCTGACACGCTGTGTTGTGGCTGACAGCTAGGCTGAGATGTCTGCCTTTCGGACCATCTTATCCGATTTTAACGAAACGGGTGTTAGTCGCCTCCTACTACATGACCGTAAGGGCGCACTTGGCGTATTCTGTTTTGTCTACAGTCAGGCTCTAGAATCCGCACAAGAAAAAGTCAATGTTATGTTTTCACTAACAGCATTAACAGGTAGTAAGTGGGTATATCGTATTGTAATTTGGGATTACCACAAATGTAAGCCGTGTTGAGAAAGTCACAAAGATTATTTTTTATTACTTAAAAAAATGTCAAATAACGAGAAGAAAAGTTTATTAGCATCACAATCACGATCAGAGAGGGGGAAAGTTGCGGCTAGAAAGCTTTCGTCAACACACAATACAAAAGGACTATGGTACAAAAGCAAACAAGAATACACAATATCTATAACCTGTCTAAACAGTAAAGACACTGAGTGCACGCGTCGCTGCAGCACAGAAACAGTAGCGACACAGAGTGAACGCGTCGTTGCAGCACAGAAAGAATAGACACTAATCGTGTGAGGGTCATTCAGGAAAAGTAGAGACAACTAAGTGCACGCGTCGTTGCAGCACAGAAAGAATTAGAGACACCGAGTGAACGCGGTCGTTGCACACAGTCGTTGCAGCACAGAAAGAGTAGAGACACCAGAAAGTGACACTGAACGCGTCGTTTGCAGCACAGAAAGAATAGAGACACTGAGTGCACGCGTCGTTGTAGCACAGAAAGAGTAGAGACACTGAGTGAACGCGTCGTTGCAGCACAGAAAGAGTAGAGACACTGAGTGAAGGCGTCGTTGCAGCACAGAAAGAGTAGAGACACTGAGTGAAGGCGTCGTTGCAGCACAGAAAGAATAGAGACACTGAGTGCACGCGTCGTTGCAGCACAGAAAGAGTAGAGACACTGAGTGAACGCGTCGTTACAGCACAGAAAGAACAGACACTGAGTGAACGCGTCGTTGCAGCACAGAAAGAATAGAGACACTGAGTGCACGCGTCGTTGCAGCACAGAAAGAATAGAGCACACATGAGTGCACGCGTCGTTTGCAGCACAGAAAGAGTTAGAGACACTGAGTGCACGCGTCGTTGCAGCACAGAAAGAATAGAGACACTGAGTGCAGCACAGAAAGAATAGACAATGAGTGCACGCGTCGTTGCAGCACAGAAAGAATAGAGACACTGAGTGCACGCGTCGTTGCAGCACAGAAAGAATAGACACTGAGTGCACGCGTCGTTGCAGCACAGAAACAGAAAGACAATAGAGCACAACTGAGTGCACGCGTCGTTGCAGCACAGAAAGAATAGAGACACTGAGTGCACGCGTCGTTGCAGCACAGAAAGAATAGAGACACTGAGTGCACGCGTCGTTGCAGCACAGAAAGAATAGACACTGAGTGCACGCGTCGTTGCAGCACAGAAAGAATAGAGACACTGAGTGCACGCGTCGTTGCAGCACAGAAAGAATAGAGACACTGAGTGCACGCGTCGTTGCAGCACAGAAAGAATAGAGACACTGAGTGAACGCGTCGCTGCAGCACAGAAAGAATAGACACTGAGTGCACGCGTCGTTGCAGCACAGAAAGAATAGAGACACTGAGTGCACGCGTCGTTGCAGCACAGAAAAAGTAGAGACAATGAGTGTACGCGTCGTTGCAGCACAGAAAGAGTAGAGACACTGAGTGCACGCGTCGTTGCAGCACAGAAAGAGTAGAGACACTGAGTGCACGCGTCGTTGTAGCACAGAAAGAGTAGAGACACTGAGTGCACGCGTCGTTGTAGCACAGAAAGAGTAGAGACACTGAGTGCACGCGTCGTTGCAGCACAGAAAGAGTAGAGACACTGAGTGCACGCGTCGTTGCAGCACAGAAAGAATAGAGACACTGAGTGCACGCGTCGTTGTAGCACAGAAAGAATAGACACTGAGTGAACGCGTCGTTGCAGCACAGAAAGAGTAGAGACACTGAGTGAACGCGTCGTTGCAGCACAGAAAGAGTAGAGACACTGAGTGAACGCGTCGTTGCAGCACAGAAAGAGTAGAGACACTGAGTGCACGCGTCGTTGCAGCACAGAAAGAGTAGAGACACTGAGTGAACGCGTCGTTGCAGCACAGAAAGAGTAGAGACACTGAGTGTACGCGTCGTTGCAGCACAGAAAGAGTAGAGACACTGAGTGAACGCGTCGTTGCAGCACAGAAAGAATAGAGACACTGAGTGCACGCGTCGTTGCAGCACAGAAAGAGTAGAGACACTGAGTGCACGCGTCGTTGCAGCACAGAAAGAGTAGAGACACTGAGTGCACGCGTCGTTGCAGCACAGAAAGAGTAGAGACACTGAGTGCACGCGTCGTTACAGCACAGAAAGAATAGAGACACTGAGTGCACGCGTCGTTGCAGCACAGAAAGAATAGACACTGAGTGAACGCGTCGTTGTAGCACAGAAAGAGTAGAGACACTGAGTGAACGCGTCGTTGTAGCACAGAAAGAGTAGAGACAATGAGTGAACGCGTCGTTGTAGCACAGAAAGAGTAGAGACACTGAGTGCACGCGTCGTTGCAGCACAGAAAGAGTAGAGACACTGAGTGCACGCGTCGTTACAGCACAGAAAGAATAGAGACAATGAGTGCACGCGTCGTTGCAGCACAGAAAGAATAGACACTGAGTGAACGCGTCGTTGTAGCACAGAAAGAGTAGAGACACTGAGTGAACGCGTCGTTGTAGCACAGAAAGAGTAGAGACAATGAGTGAACGCGTCGTTGTAGCACAGAAAGAGTAGAGACAATGAGTGAAGGCGTCGTTACAGCACAGAAAGAATAGAGACAATGAGTGAACGCGTCGTTACAGCACAGAAAGAGTAGAGACACTGAGTGCACGCGTCGTTGCAGCACAGAAAGAATAGAGACACTGAGTGCACGCGTCGTTGTAGCACAGAAAGAATAGAGACACTGAGTGCACGCGTCGTTGTAGCACAGAAAGAATAGAGACGCTGAGTGCACGCGTCGTTGCAGCACAGAAAGAGGTGAAGTTCTATTAGCTCAGTCTTGCCTGTCCAGATGGTTACCGAGGCTTAATGAGGAGAAGCTCGGTAATATAAACGAGTAGATATGGTTCTTTGGTATCTGGTCACATCTATACAAACATCCTGAAAGTACCTCTGAATGTCTCACACTCAAAACAAGTATCACCTTAAGGTACAACATGTACAGATACCATAAAAAGGTAAAGTAAAGGACCCTTTTCCACTCCTTTATGCGTATAGGGCATATAGGGCTAGACCTATATTTTTATAGACCAATCGGCACAAGATGGGTGATGCGGTCAGCATTACGCCGGCCTCCTTTACTTCCCAGGACTGCAGCCGGTACCCACTCAAGGCTGGGTCGACCTGGAAGCCAAGGTCATTTTTGAAAATAGGGAGCGAACCCACAGCCTTCCGATCCGCGGCGAGCGCCTAGCCGCTTGGCCACGGCGACTCGCAATAGTTACCATACTTACAATAAACTTACTAAAAGTACCACTGAATGTTCTCCTAACCAACCAACCATCACGTTAAGGAACAACGTGTACAATCACCATACCTACTACAAACATCCTAAAGGTACCACTGAACGACCATGTTCCTTGATCCAGGCTCCCGCTGATGTTGAGCAGGTAGGCCAAGTGCGTGTCCTGTCTGTTCATAGGGATGTAGACACTTTCTTGGAAATCCTGTTAAGTAAAAGTAAAGGACCGTTTTCAAGGCACTATAGCATCGGCCCTATGGTGTTAGGCATTTATATCATATAGATCAATGGTTCTCAACCTTCCTAATGCCGGGACTCTTCAAGACAGTCCCCTCATATTGTTGCGACCCCCAGATAATTATTTTTCTTTATAACTACAATGAATATTTTCCGATGGTCTGTGAAAGGATCGTTCGACATTTTAAAAAAAGCCACCTGCCACCGGCAGGTTGAGAACCGCTGGTAAATATTGGATGGCGAGTGTGGTACTCATCACTAAGGGCTTATTATGGTAGAGCTGAAAAAATATGTCTATGAAAAGGTGCTAGTGCTACGTACCGTTGCTTGCCGCCAGAAAAAAAAGGCGCTGCCATATCCTTATCTGAACAGGACTAGATGGTATACTAGGGTTTTTCTTGGTGTCCGGGTTTCAGCTGCCGTCACTGTATCTTCTTCTTCTTCTTCTTCTTCTTCTTCTTCTTCTTCTTCTTCTTCTTCTTCTTCTTCTTCTTCTTCTTCTTCTTCTTCTTCTGCTTCTGCTTTTTCTTCCTTGCGTTTACCAGCTGCAAACTCGTTAACACAGTCGGAAGGTTCTGGTTGTTCACCCACGTCTAGACGTTAGTTTTGTTCCAGAACCTAAGATTTGTCTGTACATCCTTTTAACACATTTAGATAATTTGTATGCAGACCGGTGGTTTCTCGCCTCTCAGTGAAATAAACTCCTACTTCGAAGAAACATCCCTAACTAATCGACTCTTATGACGTTTTTGTTAGGGGACAGTGGGTCTATTCTTTCCCAACCCCCTCTACTGCCAATGATCCCTGGAATACACAGGCGAAGTAACTTCTTTTGAAACTGATCTGGGTGTCTGGAATCTACCCTTATCTTTGAGTGAAAGATATCAAATCTCAAGTTTCCTCCAGAAGAAGAAAATATACATTCCGTAACTCAGTAGTATTCCTTTCTCTCTCTTTCTCTCTCTCTCTCTCTCTCTCTCTCTCTCTCTCTCTCTCTCTCTCTCTCTCTCTCTCTCTCTCTCTCTCTCTCTCTCTCTCTCTGCTATTCTCTCAACTTAAAAGTTGCACCTACCAATAGTAAAGAATTCTTTGTGTACGTAATGCCCTTGTTCTCATCTTTCAGCAACCAGCTAACATCATCTAGCTGCGTTTGGTTGTAAAACTGAAATGCGGTTTTAAAAAATCGGTTTCTTACCGTTTTCATCCAATGCTCCGTAGTCACAGTAGCCTACTGTTATAAACTTCTAACTACATCTATCTATCTATCTATCTATCTATCTGTCTATCTATCTATCTATCTATCTATCTATCTATCTATCTATCTATCTATCTATCTATCTATCTATCTAATCTAATCTAATCTAATCTAATCTAATCTAATCTATCTATCTATCTATCTATCTATCTATCTATCTATCTATCTATCTATCTATCTATCTATCTATCTATCTATCTATCTATCTATCTATCTATCTATCTATCTATCTATCTATCTATCTATCTATCTATCTATCTATCTATCTATCTATCTATCTATCTATCTATCTATCTATCTATCTATCTATCTATCTATCTATCTTTCTATCTATCTATCTATCTATCTTTCTTTCTTTCTATCTATCTATCTGTCTGTCTGTCCGTTCGTCAGTCCATATGTCTGTCTGTCTGTCTGTCTGTCTGTCTGTCTGTCTGTCTGTCTGTCTGTCTGTCTGTCTATCTCTCTGTCTGTTTATATATTTATGCATGTATTTATATATGCCCGTCTGCCTGCATGCCTATAGCAGTTATATTTTATTCAATATTGCATTATCCAGTCTGTTATCTCTGTGAACTGACCTCCAGTGAATCCCCTGAAATAGAGATCAGACACCTCTCACTCTCTGATGCTGTTTCAATTTTGACATTGAAGGTAAATGAGATGCTGTCCCCAGCGGAGGTCAAGGTCAGGTCCGTTGTGTTGTCCATCGTGAAAGAGCCTGTAACTGCAGGTGTGTAAAAAACCAGAAATGGAATCAACACAAGACATGGAGGCTTAAGCATCTTTGGGCTGACTCCCGCGCCCTCTTTCTTCAACAAAAGGCAGTTCTTTTAAAAATGTGCAAATACATACATTGTTTCAAATATATCTTCTTCTTCTTCTGGTTGTTCGTGCACTTCTGGGCCTAAGTCTTGTCATAAAGCTTAAATTTTGCATGCACATTCGATTTACTGATCTTGCTTAATTGTATGCATACTGTTGGTTCTTCGTCTCTTAGACAGATCGGCTCCAGTTTCGGTAGGAATCCCTAATTAGTCGCTTTTTACGACATTTATCTTATGGAGGCTAAGGGACCACGTCTGTGCGGCAAATTTTCTTTGTACGATTTACGTCTTCGAAATGTGCAGCTTAAATTTCTCAAGGCTTCCAAATGTGCCCCTTAAATGTTGTAAGGCTTCGAAATGTGGCACTTAAATGTTGCAAGTCTTCGAAATGGGCCACTTGAATGTTGCAAGTCTTCGAAATGTGCCACTTAATTGTTGCAAGTCTTCGAAATGGGCCACTTAATTGTTGCAAGTATTTGAAATGTGTCACTTAATTGTTGCAAATCTTTGAAATGTGCCACTTTATTGGTGCAAATCTTCAAAATGTTCCACTTAATTGGTGCAAGTCTTTGAAATGTGTCACTTAATTGTTGCAAGTCTTTAAAATGTGCCACTTAATTGTTGCAAGTCTTTGAAATGTGCCTTTTAATTGGTGCAAGTCTTCGAAATGTACCAATTAAATGTTGCAAGTCTTTGAAATGTGCCACTTAATTGTTGGAAGTCTTTGAAATGTGCCACTTAATTGGTGCAAGTCTTTGAAATGTGCCACTTAAATGTTGCAAATCCTCGAAATGTGCCACTTAAATGTTGCAAGTCTTCGAAATGTGCCACTTTATTGTTGCAAGTCTTCGAAATATGCTACTTAAATATTTTTTTCGATTCCCGGTACCACTATCAAAGCCAGTGCAAGGCAGTCTGCTGCCAAATCGCCCGCAGCTGGGATTGAGCCCGATACCCCGGCCTAACGAATCCGTTTTGCAACATCTGAGCTACAGACGGCGATGCTTTTACTATCACATGTGTATAAAAGGGAGCAACAAGCAGACACAATGAAAAACATCGACTTGTTTTCAACGAAAGTAAACAAATATGCATTTTGACGAATGATTCAAACTATATACTGCACAATTTATGGTCTCCTATGATACTCTCTTGTGTAGATCAGAAGGTCGTGGGTTTGGGTTCTGACTGAATTTTTAAGAATGATTTTGGCTCCCATGTCGACCCAGCCTTGAATAATTACCAGCTGCAGTCCTGGGAAGTAAAAGCAGTCGGCGTGATGCTGACTACATCACCCACCGAGTGCCGATTGGTATATACAATATAGGTCTGGCCCTATCTGCCCAGTAAGGCTGAAGGCATTGAAAAGGGTCCTTTACCTTTACCTCTCTGTATCCTGTCATGTGCATCATTGTGGAGTTTACCTCAAAACAAAATAAAACGCAAAAGATGAATCTTTTCCACCGAAAAAAACACATCACATTGTCTTACAAAAGGAAGTCTGAGATTAACCCATAGGATTACCGTGGGAGTTTGAGATTAACCCACATGATGGCCATGGAAGTCTGAGATTAACATACAAGATCGCCGTGAAAGTCTGAGATTAACCCACAAGATCGCTGTGGAAATCTGAGATTAACCCACATGATCGCCGTGGAGGTCTGAGATTAACTAACATGATCACCATGGAGGTCTGAGATTACCCACATGATCAACGTGGAAGTCTGAGATTAACCGACATGATCACCATGGAGGTCTGAGGTTAACCCAAATGATCACTGTGGAGGTCTGAGATTAACCAACATGACCAGCGTGGAGGTCTGAGATTAACCCACATGATCTCCGTGGAGGTCTGCGATTAACAGACATGATCACCGTGGAAGTCTGAGATTAACCTAAGATTAATCAAACGATATTTTTGTTTACATAACATGTAATTGGCATTCCTAATTTCCACTATTTGTATGATTTGTTTTGTGTACTCAACGTTTCAATTCATAACAGGAAAATACATAATTCACAAACAAATATAAAAACATGTTCTACCTTGAAAACCAAATCCTGTGCAAACATTGGTAAACACAGCGAAAGAAATAATCAGTCTAACTGGAAGCCATCTATAACAATTCACAGAGTTTGATAAATTCATTTTCTTTCAGTGCGATATCCTTTGTTTGACCTGGACCGATTACGTTATCGTGTGAACTGATGTGAGTATTCTCTTGTGGCACCAAAGTCAGTTCACCCGTCAAAAGTGGGACGGACTTGACGGCATCGATCTCATTATTGTTAACGGGAGATCGATTCAGTTTTTTTTTTTTTTTTTTTTTTTTTTTTTTTTTTTTTTTTAGGTTCAAGTACGATTCAGGAGAATTGCAGAAGAAATCATAAAGTTACTTAATTAGTTAGTTAGTTAGTTAGTTAGTCTTTCCTCTTGTGTCGAGTGCGGCACATAGGGCAGAGGTCATAATTCTCCATGCATGGCGGTTCATTGCAATCTGTTGTAGGTCTTGGATGTTTGCTTGGCCCATGAGCGAGCCTTCCCTGATGATAGTTCTACGTAGAGTTTCCCTTGGTCTTCCACGAGATCTTTTCCCCTGTGGTGTCCAAATGAGGGCTTGGTAAGGAAGTCTTGATTTATCCAATCTAAGGGCGTGGCCGACATAAACTTACTCCTTGTCCTTAAAAAATATTTACAGTGTTTTCATGAAAATCGTCTTCTACAGCTATATCTGGTCATGCACATAATCCACTGTGAGAATAAACTGGGATGTCATATCAAGTTTTCTTAGATTTCCCCTAAACTGAGTTGTCAGGTCTACTGGATGTGGTCACATGTAGCTCCTCAGCTCCGCCAAG